TGGAGGAGATGTTGGCCACCAAGAGGCAACGCCCGAACGAGAGCGCTGCCAAAGGCACTCCGGCGAGCAAGCGGCAACGCAGGCCCAAGGTGGCCACCCCCCAGCCGAAGGCAAGGAAGCCGAGACAGAAGGCCATGAGCGAAGTGTCCAAGAGACATCTCATTGTAGCCTTGATCGACCGCAGCGACGAGAATGGAAAGATGACGGCGGCGCAGTGGAAGTTAGTTCACGCGCAGCTCGTTAAATCACTGTTCACGCGAATGGAGGAGGACCCCAGCGCTCCCATGCCCACGCTCGATGGAGCGGGATGGCTGAACGGGGAAATTACTAGTTGACGCATACAACAATCCCAGAGATACAAATATGGATGTTACAAATCATACCTTGTTTGAACAACCATTGGGAAGCTCAAAGGACATTCAGGCGCTGGACACGATGCTTCAGTTCTTAGAGCAAAGATGGATGCGAATAATTTCACTCCAAATCTCCATCGGAACGACTTAATTGCGTACAAAAACAAAAAATTTGCGTTACTTGTTTTATAACGAATCACAAAACAAACGCATGCCCAGGTCGAAACTGCTTCAAGTGCGACAAGAAGCACAACACGATCCTAAATCTGGACACAGCATCGGGCGCAGCTACCGAATCAAGAGCACCGACGGTTGGTGCGGCAAGTAACAATAGTTACAATATACCTGCCACAGCAAAGGTGGCTGTAGAGGCCAACAACGAGCAGTTTTCTAATTTCAGATCACTGCTAGATTCAGGATCACAGATAAACTTAATCTCTGAACGAATGGCATCAATGTTGTCACTCAAACTAAAAGACACAACATTACGGATCGAAGGAATCGGAGGTCAATCAAAGACCAGCAGGGCTCGAGTAAATGTGCTCATGAAATCCCTTCACAATGGTTTTACGCAAAGAATTTAAGCTTTCGTATTACCACGGATAATAGCTGATCAACCAGCTCATGCACTCCATTCAGAGAATTTAACGTACCAAGCAAGATCTCACTGGCAGATCCAAACTTCCATAAGCCAGGCAAAATCGACATGCTAATTGGAGCCGAGCATTACTATTCATTGCTGCTACCACATTAACAGCAGCTAAGGACAGGAGGCCCGTTGCACACAAACTACAACACACAAAACTGGGATGGATTGTGGCAGGAAAAGTCAAGTCCGCCCACAGTTCCTCACCCATTTCTGCAACGGGAGTCAATAAGCTCATTGAAAGATTCTGGACTCAGGAGTATCTAGAGTCGGAAGAAAAACCACGCACTCCAGTAGAAGCACAGTGCGAAGCTCATTTTTTAGAAAACCTTCAGACTGCTTCGGATGGCCGGTTTATTGTAAAACTCCCATTTTGCGAACACCCTTCAGCTCTGAGGGAGTCTTTGGAAACTGCAACAAAATGATTCCTAGCGTTGGAGTGCCGCATCTCAACAGAAACTTAGAAGAGTTATGTGGACTACATGGAAGAGTATGAAGGTCTAAGACATATGAAGATGGTGCCAGCATCAAAGGTTCCTAAAAAACACTACATTATTTCACATCACTGTGTACTCAAACGTGAGAGCACCACAACATAGCTTAGGGTAGTTTTCGATGCCTCATGCAAGTCAGCAAGCGGGAAATCTTTGAACGATGTCCATTCTGCTACGATTTCGAACTCATAAGTACATATTCAAAGCGGACATTGAAAAGATGTACCGACAAGTATTGATGAATCCGGAGGATCAATTCCATCAGATGATAGTCTGGAGAATCAATCCGTCAGGTACTATCGCCTAAAAACAGTCACATATGGGACTACAGCTGCTCCGTTCCTAGCAACGAAATGTCTGGATCACTTGGCAACACAATATAAAGACAGACTATCAGTAGGATCATCAACATTAAAAATCGATTTTTACGTTGACGACTGTCTAACTGGAGCAAACACTATTCCAGAAACAATTCAAGTTCGGCAAGAACTAAATAAGATATTGCTACCATACGGATTCGAATTGCGCAAGTGGGGCTCTAACAATGAACAACTTCTCCAAGGAATACCCAAAGGGGATATTGTAAGCGATGTCAAGCTAGGAGAGACACTAGAGCACTACAGCGTGAAGACTCTGGGTCTCATTTGGATGCCGAAAAAGGACAAATTGTGTGGACGAACACAAAAAAGGCAGGCTACATGTATCACCAAAAAGGTGGTATGTTCCAAACTGGCCCAAATATTTGACTCTTTGCGCCGGTCGTAGTAAAAAAAAAATCTTCATGCAACAGCTTTGGGAGCTCAAACTGTATTGGGATGACAAATTGCCATTACAGCTCCAAAACGAATGGAAGGAATACCGGGAACAAACATTGAACAAGATGCATATTCCCCGGCATATCTATGATGGTAAAGTTCCAGCTACCCAAGAACTCTACACGTTTGTAGATGCATCAGAACGAGCATATGGCGCAGCAGTATACGTACGCGCTGCATAGAAAAATAACCAAGTGTCAGTAAGACAAAAAATCACTACCACGGTTAGAGCTGTGTGCAACAGTTTTTGGTTCCGAACTCACAAAGCGAGTCCGACAGGATCCGCACATGAACATTAACACAGTTTCAGGATGCTTTTGGAGTGACTCCACCGTTGTGCTATCCTGGATAAACGCATCATCATCAAAATACCATACCTTTGTGGCAAATCGAATAGCCAAAATCCAGGCGTTAACAAACCAGTCACAATGGCGTCATGTGTCATCGGCCAACATCGCAGCCGATGTCTTGTCGAGAGGGATCGCAGCAAGCAGATTGGCAGATCACACTTTGTGGTTATATGGACCATTATTTCTGCACGGATCTCGAGACAAATGGATGAAGCCACCCATCAGAGAACCCAGCAATGTTGAGAGAAAGGCTAAGCATGTAAGCTTGCCAATCGCAACAAGACATAGCAACTTGTTTTATAAACTGCAACGCATTGTAGCATATATGTTACGCTTTTGCTACAAAAAAAGCAGAGCGCATAAAACGACACTCTGCGCAGGAGAACTGAATCATGCCCGCACTATAATCCTGCCAACCTTCCAACAAGTAGAGTTTACAGCAGAGTTCAAACAGTTACAACGCTATAAGACTGTGGATAGAAAGAGCTCGATCATACCGTTATCTCCCTTCCTTTGTGCACAGTAGGGTATCCACTCCGCAGTCCCACTGGTTCAAGTTCTAGTTGCGACGACCAAACTGTAGACGGTTTATGTATCGACGTGTCAGCAGCTGAGTCATCGAAGACCCGTACTGCAGGGGTCATTAAACCGCACAACTACAAGCAACAGTCGATATTATTGAACTGTGCACACGCTCAGCAAATGAAGGAAAGAAAATGAAATGAAAGATAGTGTGAAAAGGAGACATGAATCATGTTTTGATACTGTGCACAGTGTGATTCCTAACTGTTAACACGAATTAGTGTGCACTCGTGCAGGGCTCTAATATGTATACATACATTATTTGTGCTGCACTACATTAAGTTATATCATGACGGCCCAAAAGTGTTCTACGGCGGGGTTTTTCATGACGCCCCCTAGACAGAAGGCGCGTGCCGGGTTTCAAATCTCTTTTAGGCCCTTCATCTCTGACCGCGACCCGCTGCCTACCTACTTGGGCTCCGCTGCCTGCATACTCGTTCGGTCCCAAAATTGTATAGTAACACAAGGTAGAGACTCATCATCACATTGCTTGCGCATGATTCAGCACCTTGATGCTAGATAACTGTACCGAGTGAATTATTCATTTGTTATACAAAAAATCAAAAATTTACATGGAAGTTAGCAAGTACAGGGGTATATTAGCTTGGTGGTGAAACTGGATGTGTGTAACGTTCAGAAGGAAGCGTTTCCGACCCCATTTAGTATATGTATATATTCTTGATCAACATCAATAGCCGAGTCGATTGAGACCTGTCTGTCTGTTCGTCCTTATGAGCGCCTAGTGCTCAGAACCCCCAAATTTGGTATCCACTCTCCTGTGATATCGCCCCCATTTCGGCCCGAGCAAAGGACGAAAATCTTTGGCATTCACAAATCGCAGACTATTAAATCTAGAGCAACCAAATTTTGTATCCAAACTTCTGTTAGATCACTCTGTTACAAGTGTATTTCAAAATTTCATGTTCAGACACGTTTTCTGTCTCTCCAGCAGGCACACATTGTCGCTTAATGTAGCCATACTGACTATGTATCGGGTATAAATGTAGAGTTGCGGTCGCAGCAGCAACTCACAACGTTCCCCCTCGTTTTAAAATGGGTCCTGAAAAAGTTGGCATTAGAACTTTTATTTTTAAAAGCATGCCAAACCGAGTCGGTTGTCAAACCGTTAAATTGTCTCTATTCGATTTTTTTAAATTAGTTATTCGTAAGAATCATTCCTTGTGGGCTACACACGAAGGTGAAAAAAGGCATACAAAAATGTATTGGTGAATAGGCTACAATTTGACAAAACTAGCAGCTTTTTTATTTTTGAAAACACCAACAACAAAACAGCCTTCATAAATTAAACTCGAGTCATCAATGTACTTAATCATGCCCAAGTAACGTTTTTTTTTTGCAATCTAGTGAACTAAAAGGGTCTCTAATTTTGCGTCGCCAAAAACTGTATATTTGTTACAAGCTAAGCAGCCAAACAAATGAGTAGGCAAATAAAGTAGGCAGCAGAGTAGGCAGGCAAATGAGTGGCTGCGATCTGAGACGAAGGATAGCCTAAAAGAGACTAGGTGTACCTAGTACCCCGCATGACCGTACGTAGAAGCGTCGAACGAAAATTGAAATGGAATTTGTTCCTGATGCGATATCTTGATATTGTATGGTATTTGATTACAAGTTTGGCATAGTTTAAAATATATATTTTGTCATAAATTGGCACCAAAAATCATTTCTATAAACGCTATAAAAATATACATATATTTTATTATACTATAATTATACTGTGTATGTATTTTTAAAAAACTCACGTGTTGCATGGTGTTTTCTTGAATGAACTGAGGGTCGCCCTCTTGCAATATACGCATAAATATTTTTAGTGAGGTTTCCAGGAATGATGGATAGGATGAGCTTTGAATTATCATTTCAAAGTGTTCGCTTAGTTCTTGTGTGGCTTTTAACTTGATTTCCTCTTTTGCAGAGGGATCGTTAAGTATATTCAAATAATTTCGGAAAGTGATAACCGGAATACTTTCACTGACAGACATTTTTGTATGGTGATGGACTTGACAGCCTATTGCCTTCTAATGTAAGCCGGTATAAACAATATTTAATATTTCAGAATTAAGAGTTTGAATCATTAATCATGCCAGGGATGAAGAGTCATCACAAAACAAAATTTTGTTTTTTATATTTAGAAATTTGGGATAGGAACACTTTTCTATTGTCAACACAATATAGGGTATGCTCTACATATAATAGTAAAAATAATTAAGTGATTATCCCACAAAAATTGATGCACACATTTTTGCATAGCGCATTTTACCCCAATTTCAAAACGGAGATATTTCTTTGCACCGAAATGTAATGTAAACGACATTTTAATAAACAAAACGAATCTTAAAGCCGTTTAGCACCTGGCATATCTATGGGGAACGGGAGGAAAGAAGTGAAACTCAGATTTCCACTGGCACAATACCAACAATGACTATAAAATAAAAATGTTTTGGTATGAACTGTGAAATTTCACAATTTGATGGATAATTTAACGATTTTATTGGCTATAATATAGTTAGAGCCAGTCGACGAATAATAACCGTAAATTTAAGCATTCTTATTATATGAGCAAAGTGAGCCGCCTATTTTGTTCAAACGGGCTAAAAGGGCTCTCTGCCGTCGCCACTTCGGCAATTATCTTGATCACATTGATCTCCCGCCCTCGTTTATTTAGTTCTATCTCTAACCATACAGTATACTGTATACTGAAGCATAGAACCACTGCTAACCCCTCTGAGCATTGGTTGCATATTGACCTCTCATAAAATTATCTCGCCATAGCAAGCAATCGGCTTCCGCTAAGCCACCAACATTAAATACCTATTATAAAGTTAAACGAAGTTCCCTTTTTATTTTGAAACAAATAGGTGCCAAAATAGCTTGGCATCTTAAACATTGGTGACCCCCGACGTGATATAAAAACATTGCTTAATCGCGTTCCGTTTAAAACACTTATTAATTATACAATATTTTGTTGTTGGGTAGTTTAACTACTAACAAATACATTTGTTAAAAAGCAATTTAAAGTGCAAATTTCAGTGAGAGTGCGGCTGGAATATTTATATACATACATACTCCGGTACTTTAAGCGTCGAATCTCTCATTCTCTGCGCAGCTGCAGCCGCGGTTCTTGACTTTTCGTGTCTTCCATTCTCCCTCTCGCGTCTATACATCGTCGCTTAAGTGGTATTTCATTTTCCGTTGTTGTGTCGAATAGCACAACGGTTAACATGGACAACGATCCGAATACAGGCGCGGGCGGAAATGAGAGACTGACGGAAATACAGACTGAGTCTGTATAAGCGTAAAAGTCAGTCATTATATGATCGATTGCACAGGCTTGGCGAATCCTTCGCGGGGAATAAATCGATAAGTTGACCGCCGCGGAAGTCGAGGTGCGCCTTGATATGTTGGCAGAAATTCGAGAGGAATTCAATAAGGCCCATAATGAATTGGAGGCTCTCGATCAAAACGAGATTGGGAGTGAGCTGCGCGAAATCTTCGATACTCTTTTCATATCGTTGAAAGCTGAGTTGCTGGCTGCTGTTGAAGTAAGCCAACTTCCTAGCCTGAAGGTTCCTAAGTTTTCTGGTGGATACGTCGAGTTCTCGGATTTTATGGCAATGTTCAAATCGGTGATTGAAGCGGATGCGGATCTCAGTGACAACGAGAAATTCCAGCACCTTCGCTCTTGCCTCGCTGATGTGGCTTTAGATTCGGTTCGATCGTTGGAGCTCTCCAGTGCCAATTATCGTGCGGCTCTGGATATACTTAATAAACGCTTTAATAACAAAAGACTTGTTTTTCAGGCACACATCAAGAAGATTCTTGGGCTAAAGAGGGTAGACTCGCCTTCTGCTAAAAGGCTTCGGATGTTTTCGGATGCAGTCAATTTACACATGCGAGCGTTCCAGACATTGGGAACTGCTGAGGAGATTTCAGGATTCATGGTCATCAACATGCTGCTGCAGAAGTTGGATTCGAAGACGCAAACCAAATGGTCGGATGCTATACCTACCGCAGAGGAATTCTTCGAATTCTTGCAGCAACGCTGCCAGAAAATGGAGCGATTGGAATATGCTACAGCGACACACGCTAGTAGCGATCAGGTGGGAAAAAACCATTCCTATACGCAGGTTAAGAAAACGTTTGTAGCTTCCAACTCTTCCGCCGACCCGTCTGTATGCGTCTTTTGCCACTCAGCGGGCCATGGAATATACTCGTGCAAGATATTCGGAAATCTCTCACCGTTTCTGCGCCACAAAGAAGTGAAGAAGCTTTCCCTATGCTTCAATTGCCTAAAACCGGGGCACCGGACCCGCGCATGCAATAGTGGAAAATGTCGAGTATGCGGCGGTAGGCATCATAGTTTGTTGCACTTCGATAGTATACAGCCCACAACACAAGGCTGCCCAGGTATTACTCCTCCCGATCTTACCGTTCAACCGGACACTCTTTCCGTTGCTCAAAATTCTGCTAGCAGCTCGTCTCTACCTTCGTCTACCTCTCTTGCTGCCCAAGGTCTTCACTCTGATGTCGTGCTTCTGGCTACAGCCGTGGTTCTCGTGAAGAATCGGTCTGGCGTTTTAGTTCCTTGTCGTGCCATCTTAGATTCAGGATCGCAGCTGCATCTCGTCACATCCAGGTTCGCCCAGCAGCTTCAGCTTAGGAGAACTCAATCGTCTGCACTTGTGTCTGGGCTGGGCGATACCAGCGTTTTTACTGAGGGATCCACCATAAGCATTTGTATGCATTCTCGCACCTCTGCTTACACAACTACGCTTACCGCCCCAACGATTGCCGATTGTCAAGCAAGTATGGCAGTAACATTTAGCTTGCCGATCCTGCATTTTTTAATCCAAAACGGGTTGATCTCCTCATTGGTGCGAGCGCTTTTTATGATCTTTTCTGCGTAGAGAAAATCAAACTAACCGATGGCCTGCCTCTTCTGCAGAAGACCCGGCTTGGGTGGATCGTATCTGGCGGTGGACAGAAGATATCGGCGCTTTTGGCCATGCACAATTGTCCAGATTCGGAAGCTGAGATGGAAGCTAGATTGGATAAAACTCTTCGTATGTTTTGGGAAGTCGAGAATTGTGTGGAGGCTGGTTTGCATACCAAAGAAGAAGACGATTGTGAAGCACATTTCGTAAACCACCTTTCAAGGTTGCCATCCGGGGGGAATGCAGTTCGTCTGCCGCTAAATAACAATACTGATCGTTTAGGAGAATCTTATGCTCAGGTTTATCGACGGTTCATCAGCTTGGAGCGTAAACTGCAGCGTAATCCTACACTCAAGCCGAGGTATTCCGCCTCTATGAAGGAGTGCATTGATTTGCACCATATGCACCAAGTCAACCCTGATTCCCGTAGCCTCTGCAAATATTTCTTGCCTCATCCCTGTGTCGTAAAGGAGGACAGTACGACGACAAAACTCCGTGTCATTTTCAATGGATCCTCAGCTACATAAACTGGGTATTCTCTAAATAATGTGGTGATGACACGCCCTGTTATTCAGCCTGCATTGTTTAACATATTGATTCGCTTTGGGAAATATCCAGTCGCTCTCACTGGGGACATTTGTAAAATGTACCGCTGCGTACGAGTGTCTCGACCCGACAATTTGTATCAGTGTATACTATACATAATTCGGTCGCACAGGTAATGGACAAGAACATCAGCTTTACTGTCCCGTGGTAATTTTAAACTTAGGAAATGGTGCTCCAGTCACCAGGACGCACTTGAGGGAACCCCTGAAGATTACATAGAGAATTTCCTAAAGTTTCATGATGGAAGGGACATAGCCAAAACTTTCGGCTTAGCGTGGGACCCTGCTTCGGATCAGCTGCTTTTTCAGGCTTGAATTCGGACCGGAGCGTAGAGCTTTCATACAGTGCATATTTTGGAAATATTTCCGTCGGTCAGGAGACCGTTCGAAAACTTCTGCGGAGGGAGCTGGAAGGAAATTTCTGTCGTAAAAAGACCCCGAGTCTTCTACCTGTGTGATAGGTCGTCTGGAAATTTGTCTCGAGAACGATGAGATTTTATTCATCACCTGAGGCACTGGACCTGTGAGTACCCAGCCGAAAATGGTCTCCTGCCCGAGGAGAGAGCCACAGATGTTGGTCAGTGAGCCACTTAACTGAATGGACGGAAGGTTATCAGCTCCAATCAGGACATCTATTTGTGAACTCTCATAGAAGGTCGGATCCGCCCATGAGAGGTTCGGCAGGTCTCTCAAGAACCCTTGCGAGATCGGATGCATTCGGAATATTCGGAATATTCGCGGCCAATTCCGGAATAACGTAGGCTGTGGCATTTAGTTGTAAGCCCGGCTTAGTCGGAGAACGGATGAAAAAACTGCAGAGCTTCTTTGTCTGGATACGTTGGAATGGCAATTTGATCATGTCCACAAGACGTTCTGTAATGAACGTCGCCTCTGAGCCAGAGTCGATCAGAGCGCGGGCGTGGAAAGTTTTCCCAGGTGGCAAATATTAACGATGGCCGTGCCTAGGAGGACAGCACTCGTGCCGGAGGCGAAATACGACTGAACGTTTGGCTGGGCTTCGGACGAACTTGGATTTTGTACGCTTGGTACTCGTAGATGTAGCTCGGGCCACGCTGAGGAATGTAGTGCCGTTGTGGAAATCGCCTCGCTGGAGTTTGCTGGATTGCTACGGTGTAGAAGCGTATGGTGCCGGTCTCCACAAACTATGCAATTGTGGGCGCTTTGGCATGCTCGTATCTGGTGGCCCCTTGCAAAGCAGTTCAAATAAAGCTGCTTTTGCTTAATGTAGTCGGAGCGAGCGTCAGCGGGCATTTGAAGGAAGTAAGGGCATAACCGGATTGGATGATACTCTTTGGAGCAGAGATCACACGTGCTCCTCGTTTGATTCACTGTGGTCTCAAACGATTGGGCACTCCTAGGATAAGGACTTCCTTGAGACCGAAACGGATTGCTTCTCGAATTGTCTGAAGTGAGTATGCTCGACCTGGAGTGGGCCTGAGTCTCCATGGTCGTTC